AATAACTTTATTAGAATATAAAAAGAAAGTATATTAAATAAAATTAAAGATGTTTTAAAAAAAAAATAGACAAAAAATTTTTTTAAATTTTTATTTCGTTTAATTTGATTGGTTAATTGACCGTTCCGAACGTTGGAGGCATCAATTATTGAATAAATGCAATATATTGAATATTCAAGCCAAAAAAATTGGCAGAATCATGTGACCTTTGACATTTGGCCATTGGTTGTGGCCAAATGCCATCACTGATTTAAATATACAGTCACATTACAAAGTGACGTCCGATTTAAAATTACAATCAAATGTCACATTATTTATTATTTTTCGCTACATACATAAAAAAACTAGTATTTTGTTAGCCTACTCCTTGCTTTTAATACTGCATTAATTCTTTGCAGTATTAAAGTAGCAAGCTTCTCAAAAATAGACCCATCCAAATATTTCCATTCCTGCTTTTTATTTGACTTAAACCAATTTTCGCAGTATGTATAGATGTATTGTCTTGTAGAAAAACTGCTGATCTTTCTGTTAATTCACGCACTGTATTTTAAAATGAAAGTAAATATGAATTTAATGTAAGTATTTGAATTGATTCTTTCATTTTCTTCTTTATTTTCATCACAAAAATTAAAGGCCTTTTTGTTCTTTCAATGAAACATCCTCAAACTATTACTGATTTTTAATCACTTTTAAAGTAAATGCTAAACATTCAGTAATTAAACCTTTTTCCAGTATTTAGTCAAACCCTTATTTGCTTAGACTGCTTTTCAATCTCAACACTTGACTCATCTGAAAAAATAACTTGTGCCCAATCATAGACACTTTTTTCCTTATATTTTTCATATCAGTTAATACAGGCTATTTCATGTTTTTCTGAAATAAAAGACTTCTTTGCAGCAACATGAGAATGAATTCCAATATTATCTAGGGTTTTTTTAACAGTTGTTAAGCTATAGTTTAGCCTAAGTAGTAAATAGATTAAGTAGGTGTCACTATAATTATAGTGACACCTACTTAATCTATCTACTTACATCATAGTGATTCCTACTTATAGCTATATTGATACTTACTTTCTTATTTTTACATGTCTGTGTCCTTTCTGTTTCTTTATTGTTGTCCATCTGTTTTCACTGGTCTGTGGCAGTTTGGTTGCTTTGTAGATATTTGCTTGATTTTATTGCTTTATCCTCTTTTTATTATCAAGGAATTATTCATGTGTTTACAATGTTTTGCGTTCTTTTTGTTTCTAAAGAGCTATTCGCTTGTTTTTCTACTTCTGACCTGTTTTGGTAGCCTGTTAAAATATCGAGAATGCTTCTTTTTGCATCTTTTTAGTTGCCTTTTAAAATACTGAAATTATGTAAAAAAAGAGGTGACAGGTGACACAGTGGATTTGCGATTAATTTCAGCTGACATTATGTCATAATTTTGACTGATCTTTTGGGCATGTAATTTTAGGTCCCAGCTTGATAATATGATGGCACTATGATGGCGTTATGAAACCATCATAAAACTGTTGAAGAACTGGTAAGGAACTGGCTAAATGCCTGAGAGGTTCCATTTATTCGCTAGTTTCAGTCTACCTATACTAGCTTGGATGCCAAATTATTACGTCCAAAGTTCTGGCCAAAATTATGAAATAGTGTTGGCCAATATTAAGCGAATAAGTCTTATGCGAAGGCTATACTGTAGCTATACATATATCTAGAAAGATGCAGCCTTCTTCCATTTTTATATAATATAATTACAGAGAAGGCTACACTTTCAGATACATACCTTTTTGTCTTCCTTTTACAATTTGCTGACTAAGTTCGCTATTATTTCTTTTTACATTCACTGAAAAAAATGCGTCAGATATATTTGATAAATATTTGAGTGATATTTGGATTTGTGTTAGTGGATCAGTTGGTTAAAGAATTGGAGGTGCCAACTTCGTATCTTTTTTTAGTATACTTCTATATTTCGTGAAGGCTATACCTATACCTAGATACATACTAAAAAAGTGTAGGCTTCTGCCATTTTTATATAATATAATTCTGCAGAAGCCTATACAAAATACATATACTGAGTACATACTAGTGATAGGGTAGCCTTCTCCCATTTTTGTATAATATAATTACGGAGAAGGCTTCATATTTTAGTTATAGCTGAATGCTTTTCTTTTACAATTTACTTACTAAGTTCATATAGGGGCTTCTTCCATTTTATTATATAATAATTATGAAGTTACCCCTTCATGCTTTCAGTTCCTAATACTTCTCTGACACTTTCTCGCAACTTGTTATATGTCATTTTTTTTATCTATCCATCGAAAAAATAAATTAAACATTTTGGAAATATATTGGAGTATATAAAGTTTTACCTACTGACGCTATGTATACCTCAACTACTTTTAACCAAAATTGTGAAACTTGAACTAGCCCAATGCTCACCCGCTATGACGGTGCTGAGTCTAATGAATACTTAAGTAACTCAGATGATTATAATGATAATGAATCTGATTTGAGATCAGATGATTATAATAACTACAAGTCTAATTATAAGTCTAATAATGAAGAAGCTTCCTGCATTTCAACCAGCACTACCGAAGCTGTAAAAGAATGAAAGGTTAACATGATATATACTTTGAGGCAAGAAAACTTCCATGATAAATTTTCTCCTAAAGATTTGGTAAGTGCCATTCGGGAAATTTTCTCATCATCATCTAAAGATATGTCAAATGATAAAGGATCATTAGAATATCTTCCAATTTTTTCATTCCTCTTTCCGAATGAAAAGGGGTCTAGTTTATATAATGCTTATGACTGAAGGGAAGTGGAAAATAAATTGGTTATCAGAATTGATCAAGAAGATCGAGCCCCAAAGTTTTCCATTGCAGATGATATTTCTGAAGTATATAGTTTACCCAGGATTCATGAATGCATTAATGGTCAAAAACCTTTAAAAGCTGTGATTGATATAGATATCTCACAGGAAGATATGAAAACATCTGGAGTTAAGGCACAAGAAGTATTCATTCGAATCTGCTTTTCTTTCATAAGAGTTTTGTATCGAATTCTTGATTGTAGCTGGAAGGATATTCTCAATGGATTAGTAATTGCTACATCATCAGACTCTAGCAAGTGTAGCTATCATATTTTATATGCACCGGCTCTTCTTATTGATCATTGTGAACTCAAAACATTCACAAAATTAGTATATACTATAACCGGTGAAAAATTCGGCAAGTTTATTGATCAAAAATTACCAGGTCAGAATTTTAACCTTCGCCTAATTGGTTCAGCAAAAAAAGGTCGCATAAAATGCATTCTTCAATTCTCTCTAGATAATGGTTGGAATGAACTCAATCACGCTAGAGTTCAACCACCTACTAGCTTGAGACTTGAAGTTAGACCTCAAATGCTTAGTACAAAAAATAATAATCGCTAAGAATATTCGTGAGTCAGGATGTATTACAAAAATTTGCAAATCTAGTTTTGCAAAAATATTCTAACTATCTTAGGGATTGGACTATTGAAGAAAGGAAGAAATGAAGAAAAACTTTGTATATTTAAGCTGTAAAGCTTCATTAGAATGTTCACTCTGCAAACGTATATATAATAAGGATCAGCAGTGTTCGGTCGTATATACGCCAGTGGTAAATTTATCATAAAATATTTTCGGCAGAATAGTGATGAACATGGGAAAATTTTTGAATACAATCCATCTATTGCAGAAAAAATTTAGCAAGAAAATAAAAAATCTTTGCAATCCTCTCATAAGGTAAAGGCTCTGGGTTTCCTTAAAGTCTTCTTAAAATTCCCATCTTGAGTCAAGTATAATGAACCCCTTATAGCGACAGAAACATATAAGGAGAAATATATAAGACCATTACCCAATGAAGGTGATATTTATATAGGGTCGCCTTGGGAAACTGGAAAAACATATATTCTTGAACATCTTACTTTATCTGACGTTGTGAATTTATTAGCATTATCCACGTGTCACTCTTATTCTAATGCTGTTACTACAAGACTTAATCTCACATCATATTGTGATATTGATGGAAATATAAATCTATCCGATTACAAGAGGGTAGTATGCAAGATAGAAAGCTTACATTGTATTACTAATAATTGTAAATGTAATAAAATATGTAAATGTCCTCCAATCTAATATGATTTATGGCTTGATAAAATAATATCTAAAATTGCTCAAGCACAAAGTCATCTGGCAGGTCAATTGATAGAAAAGTTATATAAATTAATCCAAAAGGCAAGACGTATTATTATTATGGATAATGACCTAACTGATCTAAATATTGAATGGATTAAAGCCCTTCATAAAGATAAACCATTTTCTATTATCCACAATACTTATCAACCTCAAAAAGGTAAGACATTCTGCCTAGCTCCTAATATAGAAACTGTGTTAGCTGAACTTTGGAATGGGTTAAGAAAACGTCTTTATTACCTTTCGAGAATTGGAAAAGTGCATCACTTATCTGTCATCTTAGAAGGATATGCAAGGGATTGTTCATACTCTCAATACCGATTTTCCAGAATTGAGGATCAAGGAATATTACAGTAAATCTGATCCAGTAGAAAAGGCTCATAACTTCAGTAATGTAGAAGAATCATGGAGTGGTGTAAACCTTGTTGCATATACTAGTACTCTAAAAATAGGAGTATCATATACTAATCCAAAGTTTGAGCGGGCATTCTGTCTCTTTAATAACTATATAGAAACAAATGCTAGAATGAATCAGATATTATTTCGCATGCGATGCATTAAAGATTATATATGTCATATTGAGCAAAGATCATCTAATGTTCTTATTATAGAAAAGGATTATTTCAATGGTTACTGAAGGCTAAATGCAAATGTCTTCCCTGTGAACTTCAGAATAGAGAGATTTTTCCAGATATAGATTCTATTATCCAGAATAAAGATATGCCTACTATTTGATTGTGGGTAGCATATATGTTAGAGAAATTCTGTTCTTATCATTTATTTGGTTAGAAAATGGTCGATTTTTCCGAAGGGGGATATGGTAATTTCTATTATAAAACTTATACCTAAACCTAAAGATAATACGATATCATTATTCCAAACAGTAAAGGTGGGTTCATCTATCATTAAAGTGGAGAAGATAGCAGATGTTTCTAATGCTACTATTATTGATCGTGAGACTACTGAATTTTTGGAGAATAAACCAAAGAAGACTTTAGAAGAGATGCAGTCTCTGGACCAGCATTATATTGTGGATTGTTATGGGATTATACCCGAATTACTAACTGAAGAATTCATCTCAAAGTATGGGAATTATAATCACATGAAATGGTTTAGAGCTTATAAGCAACTACGAGATGCTGGTACTAATAATGAAATAGCTGTTGAAGCTATTACTCGCAAATATTATAGGGAAGACAAACTTATAACTACACCTGAGCTGAGAGACATCAAATTTGTCTAGAATTATTAAAAAAATGTACATCTGCTAGTAATATCAATGATAGAGCAAGATATAAGACTGATAATGTTAAAATACACATGAATTCTCCTAAGTCGATTTCATATCTTTAGAATTTAGTACCTAAAATGACTCGAGTATTTGATAATACAAATGTATCACGCAGTACTAAAAAATCAGGATTAAAATCAACTTGAGCTAAACTTGGTTTACTTAATTCAGCATTACATATAACTTATGGGTTAAAATTTAAGGCTATAGATAAGCATAGCAAACATTACCATCTAGTTAGACAATTCGATAATAATGATTCTCCTAAGTTATTTTCATACCAAACGGGAAAAGAAATTTATTGGAAAAATAGGGGAGATACTCGGTATAGGTATAGTAAACTACTATCTGATGAATTATTAATAGAAAACCTTTTGGAGAAAAAACAAACCAAAAATACTTCCAGTTCTAATGTGGATACTGTATTAACTGTGAAAGATATTCAAGACTTATTTGATATCGCATAAGCAAATCTATTATAAAAGTAGTGTAAATATAATACTAGAGTTTTACGGGATCAGATCATATATACTTTGAGATAGGGCTTCTTCCATTTTTTATATAATAATTCTGAAGAAGCCCCATTCTAAAAATATGTTTAATATACTTTATTTATATATTTAAAATGATCCTATTTAACTTAAAGATATAAATAGAATAATATTTTTTTGCTTATTTTTTAGCAAATAATTCAGAAGTCTTTGTAGGTTGAAGGACCTCAGTCCTATACTTCTGTCTCATCTGATAATGAAATCTACTCGAATGTTCAGGGCAACATCCTATAGTAGAATCTATAAGTTTATCACAACTACTAATAAGGCAAGGTTTTCTTTTCATATTTTTTTCATACAATGTGTGATGTTTTATATAACCAGTAATGCGAGTGCAGACTCTATCACAAATAATATTGTCTCTCTTGATATATGAACAAGTAACACGATATATGTAAGTATTTTAGGATAAAGAAACCTTTCAATTTTATTGTGGATTAATTTTATAATAAATGTGTATTTAAATTATTCGATAGTAAAATAAGACATAAACATCTTTTCATACTTTTATTATAGATATAATGCAAAGAACGGTACTCAATATACTAACCGGTCGATGGGTCAATCCAAATGGAAAGTTATTTCAGAAGTTAATCTAAGAAGGTTACAGATACGCTGATAGGCTTTCACATTATTTAGACGATATTGGGATTATGAATATTGGTAAATTCAAATTAGATATCTTGTTAACTTTTATCACCCAGCTCTAATTCCGCTTTTATCTATCCTAGCTAGTAGATCAGATATTCGTAAAAGGTTTCCTATTAGTGTAGAATCCACTGTAATAGGAGGGGTGAGTCTATTTACTCTAGAAAAAAATAAACAATCCTCACTTCAGAATTTAATCCAAATGAATTATTCCAGTGATAGCTTGTCTACATTAATAGGGATAACTTGGGATCGTGAAGAGACAAAAGCTTGGAGGAGCGACATGCTTATAAAACTCCTCTATCACCCGAATTTAACTCTATCAAAATATAGACTGGGTGCTTTATATGATGCACTCACCAAGACAAATGCTTTAGAACCAGAGCATATTTTAGCTCTAGCACGAACATTTTACTAAATATTATCATCTAGATCTTAGACCATTCATAGCCTTGGGATGGGGGTCCCATGACTATATATTTTTTTCGAATATCATATCTACCTGCAAATTTCAAATCAATAAAATACCCTTTTTGGCTAGGTCATAAGTTATATATTTTTCGTCTATCTGACCTTTCATCAAATATGAACGGGTACTAGAGGGATCACGTAGTAAATTATCGGGAATATTTTTCCGAATTGAACTTTTTCCCACTTAATATAATCTGAATAACATAAATTAATCTAACTATCACCCTATAATCTACATACCACTTCATGTCTGCTATTACAACTAAGTTCGTTACAGACCACAA